AACCTCTTAGCGAGGTCTGTGCTCCATCTAGAGTGTTCCTTTCAGCTCACATATGTGCCCCAAGATTCAGTCCTGCTAAATGTGCCCCAAAAACCAGTTTAAAATGTAGGTCTGATTATGATTCAGCTGTGGCGAGGCCAGCCGATGAGGAGAGGACAGACATTGAAAAGATCGTCACTCAGTTCCCGGGAGGAGGGGCCACACCGTGCCACGCAGGGCCACGTGGGAGGCACTGGGGTTAGTCAGGAGATAGGGGAGCTGGGGAACAATTGGCAAGAGCATTTTTTGTGGTTTCTGTGGGGAGGAACAAGTAAGGCTGGGAGAGTAGGCTTGGGATTGGCCAGTTTAAATAATTTCAGCGGGCTCTGCGGCATGGGAGCTGGCCCTAGTTGTCTCGTGCATGCCCCTGGGGTGGTGAGGGTGGAGGAATAGTGGCCCTGGGTGTGAGAGCCGAGAGGTGGCGGGAGGGGTGGACCCTGGATCCATGGTGACATGTGGAAGTCTTGGGGTCTGGAAATTGGCTAACGCTGGCACCAGCAGTCCCTCCAGGCCCAGCAAAGCCGCAGACATCCAAGCATCATAAAGCCATGGTCAGTACACAGCCAGACTCGGAACTGTCCGTGCAGACCCTCTGAATCTGACACACAGCCTTCATTTCCCTGGTTACCCAGAGACCTGGAATGTTCTTTGTGAACCTTGGAAGCCCTCCCTGCTCCACGCTGGTAGTTAAGGAAATGCAACATCGCCACCTACTGCTGAGGCTGTCCTGAAAATCAGAAAAAGAACCTACCTTTTTTTTTTTTTTTTTTTTTGAGACAGATCTGCCTGCCTCAGCCTCCCAAAGTGCTGGGATTACAGGCATGCCCGGCCAAAAACTATGCCTGGCCAAACACTGGATTTAAAAAAAAAAAAAAAAAGAAACGAAGAGGCTGGCCTGTAATCCCAGTACTTTGGGAGGTTAAGGTGGGACGATTACTTGAGCTTAGGAGTTCAAGACCAGCCTGGGCAACATAGCAAGACCCCATCTAGACAGAAAATAAAAAATCAGTCAGCATGGTGGCTTATATCTGTAGTCCCAGCTATTTGGAGGCTTAGGCAGAACGGTCACTTGAGCTCAGGAGGTCGAGGCTGCAATTAACTGTGGTTGCACACTGCACTCCAGCCTGAGTGACAGAGCAAGACCCCATCTCAAAAGAAGGAGAAGGAGAAGAAGAAAGAAGAAGGAAGAAGAAAGAAGGAAGAAGAAGAAGAAAGAAGAAAGAAGAAAGAAAGAAGAAAGAAGAAAGAAAGAAAGGAAGAAGAAGAAGAAAATTTTGACTTTGAATCCAAGCCATCAGCCCTCCCCATCTTCCCAAAAGACTTTTGTCCCTGGTGCCCCCGGTGTGCACCGTGCCTCTCTGGGCGTGTGGGTGGAGAGGTCTGAGCTCTTTTTCTCTGCAGGCATTTTTGACTCAGCAGTTCACTGGCGTGGAGGGAAAGTTTGGGATGAGCTCCATACCCTCCCCTAATAGTACAATGATATGACAGGCCCGGAACTCACTGGGTTTTCCAGGCTGTCGTCTTGGTGATAAAAGTTAACAGGAAACTGCTTTCCACTTCTGTCGAGAGGAGGTGATTTTTTTCTTCATCTCAGAATGTGCGTGTTATTTCCTGTACCTTCTCTGCCCCTTTTATGGCCGGACAACACAGAGCTCGGTGGAAATGAAGGCAGTCGCGGAGATGTAGAATTTGCCACCTGAATTCAGTTTTCCATCATTTGAGAGTGGAAACGAAAAGGGAAGCGTTACATTTTCTTAATACACTATTCAGGAGAAAATTGGGGTGGAAGAGGCAGGATGCTTTACTCTTTAATTTTTAAGAACTAAAGCAAATGAGATTCTTTTAAGAAACATATGGCATTACTTTGAAAATTAAGTTATTTCAGACCTTATACGAATTTAGACTCAAAATCATTATTAGAGCACGAAGGCCGCTGTCAACTTCAGGAGGCCTCTGCTAATATTCCAGTATTAGGATTTCTTTCTCTCTTCCTTCCCTCCCCTTTCTCTCCCTTTCCTCCCTTTTCCTTATTTTCCTTCCTTTAGTTTCTTTTGTTAATCTGACTACCCTTTGCCAAAGGCCCTTTGCAAAGGACGTGGATTTATTTATTTATTTTAGAGACGGAGTTTCACTCTTGTTGCCCAGGCTGGAGTGCAATGGTGCGATCTTAGCTCACTGCAACCTCCACCTCCCGGGTTCAAGCAATTCTCCTGCCTCAGCCTCCCGAGTAGCTGGGATTACAGGTTTCTGCCACCATGCCCAGCTAATTTTTGTATTTTTAGTAGAGACGGGGTTTCACCACCTTGGCCAGGCTGGTCTTGAACTCCTAACCTCAGTTGATCCATGTGCTTCCGCCTCCCAAAGTGCTGGGATTACAGGCATGAGCTACCGTATAGATTTACTTTTTGAAAATCAAATCAAATCAAATTTATTTTGCTTTGAGATGTAAAATTTGCTACTGCCATTCTGCTCCCCATTCTTAAAGAATAAAAGTTGTTTAACTTTACTGTGCCTCTGAGACCATGGTGGGCCCTATATGGAGACCTCTGTGATCTAAGACACCTGCTCCAGAAGCAGGGGGCAAGTGCTTGGCAGGGGCAGGGGTTATGGGCAGAGATCAGCCAGTCCATTAATTTTCAGGCTTTACAAGTATGAGGACCACTGTGTAATTCCTCCAAATTTTATAGAACCTGAGATGATAATAATTGTACTAATGATGTCTGTGGATTGAGAAAATCTTATGTCTGAAGTTACTCCGAATTCACTCACCAATTTAAAAAAACTTGAATTGTATTCATCACAGCAGCCTCTGCACACATTTGAAAAATGATAGAAAGTATTATTTATTTATTTAGTGTATAGACAAAAGGTTGCAAGCTGGTGGGCCATGGGCTTGATGTAGCCTATAGACATGGGTTTTTATCTTCGTGTTTCTCCAACAGTAGCATTATCCTTCAGGGATGGTAAAGGATATATATATATTTTGAGATAGAGTCTCACTCTGTTGTCTAGGCTGGAGTGCAGTGGCACCATCTCAGTTCACTGCAAACTCCCCCTCCCAGATTCAAGCAATTCTCCTACTTCAGCCTCCCGAGTAGCTAGGATTGCAGGCACCCACCACCACTCCTAGCTAATTTTTGTATTTTTAGTAGAGACGGGGATTTCACCATGTTGGCCAGGCTGGTTTTGAACTCCTGACCTCAGGTGATTCCCCCAACCTCGGCCTCCCAAAGTGCTGGGATTACAGGTATGAGCCGCTGCGCCTGACCAATTATGGATAAATCCTTTTATGTTTTACCATACCTGAAGGGTAACGCTACCACTGAGCTTTCCTTTCTGAAAAGACACATGAAGTCCTGTATCTACAATGTAGGAACTCTCTTCCTCTTCCATTTCCCACTGGAATCTGAAAGTATCATTTGAAGCTGAAAATTCCAAGCTGTTGCCCCTCAGGTGATTTTGTTGATTAGAAGAAGTCATTTTTAAATGAATTACTGTAAATAAATAGAACTTCTTGAAGCTAAGGGCATCATTTTGTTTGCTTTATACGATGTTGGTTTCTCGTTTTTGCTGCTGTTGTTGTCATTTAAATGGGAGGTAGTTTCCAATATTGAAAACCAGTGGGCTTCTTAGGTAGAGAACCACCTCTTCTTTTACAGTCTGAATAACAGAAGCCTGGCAGGATGATGTGACTGCCCTGGGTCACACAGAGCTGGGGACTACATCACTGCTCGCTGACTCCCTCCAGAGGATTCTGGCCATCAGATGATGACACTGTTCTAGAAAACCGTAGTACTTGTTTCTTCTCATTTCACCTTCCTCATCTTCTGCCTCTTCTTGGTGAACCCAGTTTCCAAGAGCCCCCAGGTACCCAGCACCCTCCTAGTCCACCGTAAGGGTTGCCACACCTGCTCCGAACCTTCTTCCCTCTAAGATGCTGCATTTCAACCGTTCTCTCCTCATCCTTTCAACTCCTAGTCCTTCAGTGCGGCTGGTCATTAGACAGTACAAGCACATTATCTCATTAAAGAATTTAATAAACTCCAAAGTCAATATTATAAAGGCACATTTAGTGTAAACTTAAATAGTATCAGCATGTTTCATCTTGAAAATATCTATAAGCTCCATCTAGATGAAATCCGATTCTCATTTGGCTTAATATGCATTAATATCGCAGTGTTAAGAACACTTAGCTCAGCTCTCCGAATGTGCAGAAATCAAATCACACTTTATCACCTTCGGGAGTAGTAGTAACCATTTCAAAGAAAGCTGTGATTAAGAAGAAGAAATTATCTTTTAAAAATGCAACTTGGCTGGGCACGGTGGCCCACATCTATAACCCCAGCATTTCGGGAGGCTGAGGTGGGCAGATAATTTGAGCCCAGCCTGAGCAACAAAGCAAGACTGCACATCTACTGGAAAAAAAAAAAAAAAATTAGTCGGGTGTGGTGGTATGCAAGTGTAGTCTCAGCTACTCAGGAAGCTGAAATGGGAAGATTGCTTGAGCCTGGGAGGTCAAGGCTGCAGTGAACCACCATGATCACACCATTGCACTCCAGCCTGGACAACAGAGCGAGACCCTGTCTCTCTAAAAAAAAAAAGAAAAGAAAATCCAACTCAATGACAGTTTAGGACAAACAAGCAATGTGTTGAAAACAAATAACATTATGTAAAATTAAAAAGCAGATAGGACAAATTCGTTCTTACAAGTTGGTGGCAGACCCGGTTCTTTGGCTATGGTGAGGCCCACTAGGCGTGACAGTCCTAACCCACTATCCAAACTGCAGAAACACTGTTTGTCCTCCATAGGGAATCATAGAAAAACCATGGATGGTGCCTTTCTCCTTTGTTTGTTTAGGATGGGGAGTGCCAGCTTTCGTCTCAAATCATGTAGCTGAAGAGACCACTTTATTTTCTGTGCCTGCTGTTTCTGTGGTTCATGCACCATTTTTCTCTTTCAGGTTCTATATTGAAAGCATTTCATACCTGAAGGATAATGCTACCATTGAGCTTTTCTTTCTGAACGCGAAGTCCTGCATCTACAAGGTAGGAACTCCTTCTCCCCAGTTTCCCTCTGAAACTTGAAAGTATCATTTGAAGCTGGAAATTCCAGAGTGTTGCCCCTTAGGCCATTTTATTGATGAGAAGTCATTTATAAGTTAATTACTATAAATAAATGGAATGTTATGAAGCTAATGGCACTATTTAATAATGTGATTCCTGACCGGGCGCGGTGGCTCACGCCTGGAATCCCAACACTTCGGGAGGCCAAGGCAGGTGGATCACGAGGTCAAGAGATCAAGACTATCCTGGTCAACATGGTGAAACCCTGTCTCTACTAAAAATATAAAAATTAGCTGGGCATGGTGGCGCGTGGCTGTAGTGCCAGCTACTTGGGAGGGTGAGGCAGGTGAATCACTTGAACCTGGGAGGTGGAGGTTGCAGTGAGCCAAGATCGCACCACTGCACTCCAGCCTGGTGACAGCGGGATACTCCATCTCAAAAACAAAAAAACGGAATAATAATAATAATAATGATGTGATTCCTTTGATCCATGGCTGCTCTGTGGACATGTTTCCTAACATTATTTTAAAGGTTTCCTGATTTTAAAGGTTTCTTTGTCAACTTAGACAAAGGGGAAAAACCTAGACAAGTATGACAAACACACTAGTCAACTTAGACAGGTCTTGCAGATACACATGAGCTTCTTATAACCAAATATGTGTATATTTGACCATTTTTAGATGGTCTAGCAGCATCTTTCAAAGGGATGCTATTGTCACTTTAAGTGAGACAGTTTCTTTTTTAAAGCATTGTAGTAAAATGCACATACATTTATTATCTCAACCATTTTTGAAAATTTTTTTGTATCTCCGTAGGTTTTTGGGGAACAGGTGGTATTTAGTTACATGAGTAAGTTCTTTAGTGGTGATTTGTGAGAATTTGGTGCACCCATCACTCGAGCAGCATACGCTGAACTCAGTTTGTAGTCTCAACCATTTTTAAGTGTGCAGTTCAGTGGCATTAAGTACATTCACAGTGTTGTACAACCATCACCACCATCGTTCACCCAAGAACCTTTTTCATCTACAGAACTGAAACCTTATACTCTTCCCCGCTTTCCTCAGCCCCTGGCAACCACTACTTTTTGTCTCTCTGAATTTAACCACTCTGGTACTTCACATAAATGGAATCGTATCATATTTGTCCTTTTGTGTCTGGCTTACTTTACTTAACATAATGGCCTCAAGGTTCATCCATGTTGGCCAGGCGTGGTGGCTCATGCCTGTAATCCCAGCACTTTGAGAGGCCAAGGCAGGCGGATCACCTGAGATCAGGAGTTTGAGACCAGCCTGGCCAATGTGGTGAAACCGCGTCTCTATTAAAAATACAAAAATTAGCCAGGTGTGGTGGTGTGCACCTGTAATCCCAGCTACTTAAGAGGCTGAGACAGAAGAATCGCTTGAACCCGGGAGGTGGAGGTTGCAGTGAGCTGAGATGGCGCCGTTGTACTCCAGCCTGCGTGACAGAGTGAGACTCCATCTAAAAAAAAAAAAAAGTTCACCCATGTTGTAACATGTGTCAGAATTTCCTTCCTTTTTTTTTTTTTTTTTTTTTCTTTTCGTTTTTAAGACAGGGTCCCTCTCTCACCCAGGCTGGAGTTCAGTGGTGCAATCTTGGCTTACTGCAACCTCCAAGTCCCGGACTCAGGCGATCCTCCCACCTCAGCCTCCTAAGTAGCTGGAACTACAGGTGTGTGCCACCACACCCAGCTAATTTTTGTATTTTTTTGTAGCCATGTTGCCCAGGTTGGTCTTGAACTTGTGGGCTCAGGTGATCTGCCTGCCTTGGCCTTCCAAAATGCTGGGATTACAGGTATGGGCAACCATGCTTGGCTGCCTTCCTTTTTAAGGCTAAGTAACATTTTATTGTATGTGTAAATCACCTTTTGTTGATCCATTCATCCATCAAAAGACACGGGTTATTTCCACCTTTTGCCTATCATGAATAATGCTGTTATGAACATGGATGTCTAAATATCTCCTCAAGACCTGACTCCCAGTTGTTCAGGGTATATGCCTATAAGTGGTATTACCAGATCATAGGGTACTTCTATTTTTAATTTTTTAGGAGCCATCCCTACTGTTTTCCATAGCAGTGCACCATTTTACATTTCTACCAACAGTGTCCAACGGTTCCAATTTCTCCACATCCTCTCCAACATTTGTTATTTTCTATTTTGTTTTATTAATAACCATCCCAGTGGGTGTGGGATGTATCTCATTGTGGTTTGATTTGCATTTCCCTGATGACTAGTGATGTTCAGCATATTTCCATGTGCTATTGATCATTTGTGTATCTTTAGAAAAAAAGTCTGTTCAAGTGATGATTCCTAATTGAGAGCGACAGCCCCTTGTCATGTATCCAATTGCTCTATAAGCTTGTAGTGTCTCCTTTTGTGGGATAACTCAAAATGCCTACACCCCTTTCCAGCACACACCTCTTACCTGGGAAGACGGACTTGCAGAATATCACCGAGGTTAGGAACTGCGACTAAAAGAACTTTTTGTTTTTTTGAGACACAGTATCACTCTGTCACCTAGGCTGGAGTGCAACAGCACGATCTCGGCTCACTGCAGCCTCCGCCTCCCAGGTTCAAGTGATTCTCCCTCCTCAGCCTCCCGAGTAACTGGGGTTACAGGTGTGCACCACCACGCCCAGCTAGTTTTTGTATTTTTAGTAGAGGTGAGTTTTGCCATGTTGCCCAGGCTGGTCTTGAACTCCTCACCTCAAGTGATCCAGTCACCTTGGCCTCCCAAAATGCTGGGATTACAGGTGTGAGCCACCGCGCCTGGCCCTAAAAGAACATTTTTAAAAAGAAACACCCACTCCACTGGCTACCCCCTTCATGCACATAATGAATGCAGTGAATGTCTCATGAATGCAACCTCCATCACACCCGCTTAGGGCTGCTCTTTAACAGTAATAGACAAGAACGTTCATTCCTACAAAGTTCACATGATGTAGGGGCTTGTTGCTGAGTGCTTTATGCGAATTGTCTGAGTCTTCACAACACCGCTTTGAGAGTGAATTTTGCATAAGTTTATTGATGGTAATTAACTTGGAATCCAAAATGCATTCTACCTTGAAATAAATCAAATAATTCGAAACCTAGGATTTCCCCTTACTCTAAAAATTTAATTAACAAGATGCAGAAGAGTTTGAGGTATACACCAACTGACTGATGTAGGGCCACAGAAAGCAAATTAACAGATGTTTTTTCTGAATTCACAGCTTAAGTTCTACCTCTTACCTGGGTAAAATGTCAGGGACTCGTCTGAAGTCCTGAAGTGTGAGGATTAGTTAGAATAAAAGGTCTACTAAGGAATTTAAAGGTAATGCATTCAGTCAGGGCAGATTCCAGATAGACAAACCAGAGAACTTTCCAATGAAGATTTGATGGGTTCAGCCATTCCTATGATCTCAGTAAGGAATTTTCACTAGATTATCAGGATGTTGATGGAAGATTAAATAAGTCTGTTCCCCCACCCCACCACCTTGAGATGGAGTCTCACTCTGTCGCCCGGGCTAGAGTGTAATAGCTTAATCTCAGCTCACTGCAACCTCTGCCTCCTGGGTTCAAGCGATTCTCCTGCCTCAGCCTCCTGAGTAGGTGGGATTACAGGCACCAGCCACCACGCCTGGCTAATTTTTGTGTTTTTAGTAGAGACGGGTTTTCACCATGTTGGTCAGGCTGGTCTCGAACTCCTGACCTCGTGATCTGCCCACCTCGGCCTCCCAAAGTGCTGAGACTACAGACATGAGCCACCGCACCCAGCCAATTCTTTTTAAAAATAAATAAATAAATAAATAAATAAATAAATGTAAAGCCCAGAGTGTCCTGAATTTTCTAAAAGTTTTATTATTATTATTATACTTTAAGTTCTGGGATACATGTGCAGAACGTGCAGGTTTGTTACATAGGTATACAAGTGCCATGATGGTTTGCTGCACCCATCAACCCGAGAGATAGATGTTGCTTTTTAGCCCTGTCTTCCCAGTGATGAAGATGAGACCACATACCTAATGAATGGCCAGGCTATGGTGCACCCTGGAGGGAGGCTCTCCTCGTACACTTCTCTGTGAGGTGTTCGATGGATGGATTTAAAGTAGTCTAGGGAGCTACCGCTGCCTGGATTTTAAAATTTAATTAAGCTCAGGCCTTGGGGATTGTAAAAGCCCATTAAACCTTAACATGTACACATACACACACACAAACACACACACACACACACACACACACACACAAGTTGGAATGGTATCAGCCATCACTTTCCTTCTGGAAGTACCTCAACACATTCACTGCACAGAATAGTTCCACCAAGTACAAATGTTCAGAATAACAGAGGGCCTGGTAATGATCAAATTCAGTTCTGCGAAAAGACCTCATTTCGGGACAGTTGCTGAGCCAGGACTTAAACTGGGCTCAAACCCAGCACGCTCAGAGGACAGCATTTTGGGGTCTTGCTGAATGGAGGAAAAAGATACCAAATGCAGTTCCAGGTACCTTCAAATTCTTTCTTCTAAGACCCCATTTTCTCCTTAGAAAGTGGAAATAATAATACTAAACTTACATACAGGTTGTAAGAGTATTTGGTGTTTTTTTTTAAATGAATGTGAAAGTGCTCTGAAACCAAGTTCAGAAACGAAAGGTGAGCGGTCTCCACCAGGTGGCAGCCTTGGGCAGCGAAGTAAATGAATGGCAAGGCTGAACCCACGAAATCACTCTGGAGCAGGGCAAGTAAAAAATTGTCCCAGGCCCACGCCTGTAATCCCAGCACTTTGGGAGGCCGAGGCGGGCGCATCACGAGCTCAGGAGTTCGAGACCAGCCTGACCAACATGGTGAAACGCCATCTCTAGTAAAAGTACAAAAATTAGCCAGGCATGGTGGCAGGCGCCTGTAATCCCAGCTAACTCAGGAGGCTCAGTCAGGAGAATTGCTTGAGCGAACCCAGGAGGCTGAGGTTGCAGTAAGCCGAGATTG